ACATTGACGAACAGCACACGCAATCCATTCTTTTGCGTTACTGTCCTGGGGTGAAGAGAATCAGTCTCCAACGGGATCTCGGAGTTTTCCTAACTACGCGAAAATCCACGATATGAAGGTCTGTCTCACCACTCACCCGACGGGTTCTCAGCTCCTCAACAGCTTTTTTTCATTTTGATCCAATCCTCCAGAGAGAGATCTTTCAACACATAAAACGGCTTGCTTTTTATTCTTGGGATCCGTCGGAGAATGCGCCGACATTCTTCCTCGTCTTGACACATAACCTTAAGAGGGGAGCTTTGAGGGAATCTTCTTGTTTCCTACCCAAGCACAAGGCCGAGCTAATGTTGATTTCCTGTTCACCTTCGTCGAATAGAACAGAGATAAGTCATTCAAGAAACACTTGGTCGTCTAACATCCTTCCGGCTGGGGTATCTTTGATCGATTCATGCGCGTTCATGATGATGAGACCGGTCACGGGAGGGTGGTTGGTCACGCCTGGGGTCTGTGGTTGAGGAGGATTTGCACTGTCTTTGGTCAGCGTTTACAACTGGTTAATCTTGTCAAGGATAGCTTTAAACTGGGACTGAGGGGAGAAAAGTTCGGATTTAAACTTTGACTTAGTTTTAGCGTTATACATAGCCGGGATTTGTACACCAGAAGCGGTAGTGCTTTCCTTTACAACCGCAGCATATGTCTTGGGCTCACTGTGATGGACGTATTCTAATGGCTTCGAGAAAGAATCAGACGGTACGCGACTTCGCTTACCTGTGGGGGAGGTTGGTGCGGAGGCAGAAGGGGGAGAATGAGGAGTAACCAGGGGGATCTGGGTGGCGGGTGCTTTGGGTTTCGTTGGAGTGGAGTGAGGGCTAAGCGAGGAGAGCCCATTCGCAAGACGTCTGTTGTTTAACGAGATACGGCAGACATCACAAAACAAAACAACAGCTGGAGAAGTCGTCAGCTGTAGTGATTCGTACTGATCAGGACCGATGTCACAACAAGCGATATGCATCCAGCCTTCACTACCAGAGCACTGTACGGCTTTTGAACTAGAGGTGATACCTTTAGCACAAGACAATCATTTGGACGCCACAGAAGATGTAGTCCAAGTATTCAACAAGTGATTCTCCAGAAAACGATCTCGATTCGCGTTCCTCAGTAAAAAGAATTCAGTGGAACGGAATGCTCAGTAGGACGTCTTTATCCGAAGGTGCGCTGTTCCCGCACTTTTATGAACGTTTCATCGGGGTTACAGCCTTTGAGCTTCATTCCTTACGCTTAACCTGAACGTTGCATTACACTGCTTCAATCGAAGGTTGGCGGCATCCGGTTTCGGATTTGCCTGTCACTGTGGCAAGCCACAGGACGCCTGCGCCTACAGAGGGACCATGGATGGCTTGCGCTGCACCACCCACAGCTCCAACCACATACCCCATATCCAGTGTAAACCCGAAGGAATAAGACCGGGAGGCATGTGGATGGGAACCACGTTTCATCAACGGAGCCGGCCCACACTCCTTCACAGGCAAACACAAGCACGCTGTATTTGGGGAATCAACCGCACACAAGGCGGTGGCTGGACCGTAGTCCGCTCCACACTGAGTGCATGGAACCGCTCTTTGAGCCTAGTACGGCCACAAGAACCATGCACCCCGTCCCCTCCAGCAACGAACAACTGTCTCCTGGAGCCAGTATGAACGATGTAGTGGGTAATAGACAGGTAGGCACCTTGTCAACATACACATCAAGCGCAACCATACCAGGGATATCAAACAACAGCCGTTCAATTTAAACGACAAGCTGAAATAAAATAAATCCAATAATGCATACAGATACGGTGGCCTAACTCTTCGCTAAATTACCATATGAAGTAAGTTGGTTAGCAACAAATCCGTGATAAGTAAGAAATGTCCACAAGTTACTTAAAATGCTACAAACGCAACAAAATTACCGAAGATAAGCGCAATTAGTGTAAGCAACGTGGCCAGTTAATAGAACATTATTCAGGGAGGCAGAACAAACCAAATAAAGCGGAATGAAATTTAGCCAGCTTAAAAAGACCTAGTTTAAGTGTAAGTTGGTTTAGCCCAACTGCGGTGAAGAAGCATCAAGAATGCAACATCAGCCTCAGCATGGGGCACAATCAAAGGTAGAGTGGGCATAAAAGGTTGTTTCGGTAAGAAAAATCGTCTAGGATGTTGTTTCCAGGCTTCGTTAAACCCCAGAGATGGATGACCTAACATTCCATCAGTCTGCTAAGTCTGCTCTATATCCACCTAATTCCATGGTTCATCGCCAGCTTCCTCTACTGGAACTTAAGTTTTGTACTCTAATGCTTGTGTTATGTCCTATTAAAAGCTAGAAGAATGACTAATAGGGTACGTTATAGCACTACGATAGCGTTGACAAAGAGTTGCTCCAGTTGAAAATCTAGCTATCCGCGCTTGCACATATCGCCCAGCAGTACAAGAGGTACTTGACACATGGGTAATCAAGCAATATAATACATCAAACAATGAGGTTTAGCTAATAGCAGCACGACAGCAGTTGCTCCAAATATGTTGCATAAACACGTGTATACTCGAAGTTGCCCACTTTCTGTGATTAAAAACTCTTGCTGATTTTACTGTTACAAGCGCAGTATCAATCATCTGGGTTTACAACGGTTCTTAGTAGCAGACGTCGTATTAACAGCCTTGGCGGCAATGAGCCGGTCAATGTCCACCCTCATTGGTCTGTTTGGCCCATCGCTATTTCGAAGTGTCAATCAGTAGCTTATCACAAAGTAGCATGCATTCACCTATCACTTCTAGCCACCATCTTCCACTGGGTAACTTGTGATTCGTTAATTTTTCATATTTCCAGACCACTCCTCTGTTGCAAAAATGCATGCCTAATTATATTTCTAGACCCGTGCGTAATTGTGTGATGAAGAAGATTGTGTCTTATCAACGTGGGATAAGCAGCATGTACATGTAGGGGAGAAAATTGGATGAGCAGGCAGTCATGTTTATACCACCTCTCGGCAGCGGCCTTTCGGTATTACGCCTGTGAGGCTGTTTCTCGTGTAAGCCTTGCACTGATTCCATTTTACTTATTCATCATGCTTAATTGTGATAACCTCCAATTGACACGAGAAGATCGATTTTCGTTCCATCCAGCTTCCCTTGGTTCATAGCAAGCTATATTAGTAGTGTGCTTGGGTAATATCTATATGAGTTTAGCTTTGTTCCGCCAAACTGTACCGTTAGTGTGAACTTTCCAGTAAACTTTTAGTGCAATACAACGCGTGCGTTTATCAACTTCAAACCAATATTGGCTTACTGTGCGAACATCCAGTTTCAATTCGGTGAGGATTTACGTGTGCACACTCGAGGAACCTAGATGGAACTCAGGGCATTCTAACCACGAGCAGCAGCCTTATTTAGGGAATTCAAGGACTTGCGGACTTGTTTAGGTACCAATGAACTTAATTGAGCGTCTTCAGCAGATAGATGTGATTAACCTTCACTGTATGACACTCGGAGTGGCGACGTTTAGGTGGTCATGCCCTTCCTCTTTTTCTCTTTAAGCTACCAGTATTTTTTCAAAGTGCCGTAGTTACCAAACTGAAGAACGGAGTTTCTATCGATTCCCAGGTTGACAGTTCTTTCTGCTCGGCAACAGCAACAGTAACTGTAATTGTGTGTTATTTAACTTGCTAGCTGTGTAGACATTTACCAGGCAGTGTCGGCTGTCACCCCAGTCGGCGATTATATGTTTGCTTTCAGAATAGCAATACTTTACTCGGATTGGAATATATGTGGATTTCTTGAACGCAGTGTTGTTAACTAGTATCACGCCTCTCTCCAGTTATCTGCCTCACATGATCTCTATCTTTCTTGGAGAACCCTGGTCTTAAAGCCATAAAGAAGTCGTATACCCAGTGAAACGTTACCTGAAGCACCGATTCCAAATATGCAAATAAACCATTTACATGTTCGGTGTTGCATAACCATGCATGACTAACTAATTTTTTGCACGTTTTATTGAGAAGGGGTTGGAATGCAACATGCTCAATCAACCCACTCCCAATTTAGAAGGCAACAGCTACTGCATCATGTTTTAGTAAGAATCCAATAGGCTGCTTGAGGCGCTTCGCTTAGGTGATCTGCTATATGCGTTTTGAGGATCGAACGCTAGTGAATAACAACCTGCAGCAACTACGTTTTGAACACACTTGTATCGACAAGTCTGTCTCCATTAATAAGCGAAGAGAATGAAGGACGTCCCATGACTGGACTCAGTCAACCAACCACCAGTGACCATGGGAAACAACGGATACCTGCCTAACTCTTTCTTCTCACCAGTGGATCACGGAACATCATTTTTCTTGTTCCAACGGAACTTTCCCCTTGTGTATCATGAAACTAATTGACTGGTTACTCACTTTTCATCTAGACGGCCCACTAAAGATAACCCGAGTGTGGCGACTCTTAAATCACATTGTCGCATCAAACTAGTCCCCACTTTTCCATGCGAAGGATGCAACTGCAGGTTAAATGTTCCACGCACAAACTCTTTGCAGGCATCCCTGTTACGAGCCCGTCAGCTGCATTAGTATTCGCTCACTTGATATCAACGCGCATTCTTGCGATATTGGCTTGCATTCATGAAGTGTTCAGTGTGAAGAAGTGCTTTCGATTGATACCAGAATAAGAATCAGTAGTGTACCGCAGCAAACAATGTAGCCCAGCCAGTTAGTTGAAGTGACCGAAATTTAGAAGAGTACCGCAACACAAATGACTGGGTTCCATTGCAGGGCGGCCATGTTGTCAAACGAGGTAGTTTATCTGTACACGAACTAGTTGGAAATCGACTAATGCATTAACGCCGATTGTTCCTGGAAGCCTTTGAGGGTTGACAGGGAATACGACGGTTGATTTATTTTGTCTCCTCGTATCCAAATGATTAGGAAAGTTGATGTCTTTTGAACGGAAATGTTACTTCCCTCGAAACAGAACCAACTCAACGCATTGGCAAATTATTTGGCACATCAATGGACACCGACCAGAGGATGTCAGCATTGCTCAGAAAACAACATTGAACTAGGTGATCCAAAGGTGAGTGTTAGCCACGTGTTGCTTGCTTTCTAGTATCATCCGGTTACATGACGCTCTGGTCTCCATGTTATCGGCACCGTTACAACCTTAATAAGTTGTCTAGAAATAGTGGCGCAATGATACTAGGTTACAGAAGTGAAAGAACATAGTGCATTCATTGTGTATCGTACCGCATAGTTTAGTTGTGTAAATCAGCTACATTCGCTAACATTGTTCGAAGTGAATTACGGTAGTGCCTCATCTGTATATGATGCAGCTGATACGACCTGAACTGGGACTGCTAATGATCTGAATCTGTTAGCGTCTCCCGGCGGGAAGGGTTACGTCTTTACAATGCGCTTCACCTTTGCCAACTTCATCTGCCTGCAACTGTGATTTGCGTGATGTTTTCTAAATCCGTCAGGACTACCCCATCATACAGATGAGCCTTTTCATCGAACAAGCCACACCGTTCTTGGATGTCTTCTTTGAAAGGATCGCCGCTCTCAGCTATCCGAAGGACCGCATACACCTGACGGGTCACGTAGCGGTAAGTTAAAATTGGAACAAGCTATCGGGTAGAGTCCATATACATAGTTCGGCGGATGGGTAGCTGCTTTGATTACCTTGCCAATTTCAACGTTTTGTTTTCAAGGAAAAATTTTCAGAGTCGCTGTAGAGTTGAGGTTAAATTAAGCTCCTTATTGGAATGACATTCCACCTAATATCTCGACGGTTCACTGAAAGTGTACAGTACAATCTAGCTGATTAGAGCACAATGTCACTCAAAAAGGAGATTTGGAGACAACTAAATCCTTGTATTTCTAATGGAGACATGCTCTCGAAGTTATCCTAGCCAGAGTATCACTGTACAATTGTGAGAGTACTTAGAACTTTTCCTTATTGCTACTCGAAAGGTGACGTGAAGCGTTACCTGTCACTCAACCAGAGGTATATTTTCGTTCTATCTCTAAAGTCTTGGATTCACAAATGGTTTGCTAGGCGCCCATTTTTAACCGGCTTACTACCTGCTAATGATCTACTTCCATTTTTAAATCTCAGGATAATCTGCTGTCGTTCGGTTTTTGATGCGGGCTGTTTAGTAGGCCTCTACCATGTCATCGCCTGTGATTTATCAACTAAACATCGCCATCAGTTTTTGGGAACTTAACATTCAAAACCTGGTCACCGTTAGACAAATTATATAGGTCTAGCCTTCCTTCAAATATCTTGAAGTTGAAACTCTGCTGTTCCAGCAGCCCATCGACTTTGATTCGTCATGTATCGCTTCAAGGAAACCACATGAATATTTGAGACAATTGTGTGGCTCCCGATCTACTGAAATCGAATCAACCCACTGGACTTCCAACAATTCGACACTATTCATAAGTTCACTATAGACTCCGATTTATCTCAACGACTAGCGGATGTAGCCAGCAGTATGCATCTAATGCATGATTATGTTACGTGGCTAAATGCACGGCAATTCAGCACAGTAGCTGGAACCTTGAATGCACAATCTTGACAGCTCGGGTGCACAGTAGAGTTAAGATGGCTACGATTGCCTTGGCATTGTATCGGCATGGCCTTATCGATGACCCATTGTTCACATGATGATGCTATATGATCCTAGTTGCGATGATGTTGCCAACAATCCCATACCTTTATTGCCCATTCAGAGCTACAGATGAACGCAAGTCTGCCACAACCCCACGCAGTTATCTAGCCGACGTATCTGATCGAATTCCTAATTATAAAACTACAACGTGATTACGGCTTGCTTTTGTATCCTTTCGGATTCAAACATTATGCTTCTTAATCTCATTCTACTTGACTTACATTAAACGCAGTCATCTTGTTAAGTATGGCTCCACGTACACATCGAATACTCCGTTTACTTACTCCTCCTTCCCTGTTTGTTGTATAGAAAAAGGCTGAGATTCAGCGTCCACTGACGCATACATTCAACGCAACTTATGGGCATCAGTACCGAACCAGCGTTTGGTTTGACCCAGAAGACATAACGGACGATGGAGCGGCCTACGACAGAGCCTTGTACGCAACTATGACTCTGATTCGCTTATCGGGTCACATTGTTCGCAATAATTGTTTGCATGCTTTTGATTATACCTTGTATAAAGCCTGCCGCTTATCATAGTGAGAAAGTATACAACCGAAAGCGTTAAACAAATAAAATCATTCCGGAGTTTGAGCATGGAATGTACCAGAATACTGGCTGTGTTAATGTTGCATCAACTTAGAGATCAGAATGAGTCTTACAATAGCTGCCGGCGTCCATTAAGTGACCTAATTTATTTTTCACTACTGACAATGGAGTGAAATTCTTAGTTAAAACTGTGTTCACCCAATGCAATAAAAAACCATATGCACATGCATGGCATTTAGAATCGGACTATCGAGTGAGCTCGGGGAAAAATTACTGCTCCATTATAAGAATGAGGAACTGAAGGATTCTTGTCCCCTCTCGGAATCATTCCCATGTCCTGTGTAAGATCGTTCCACACCAAAGTATCACATTATAACGTATCCATGGATTTAAATAAATAAATAAATAAATTGTATATGGCTCGACGATGCGAGAAGCCTTTCCCAGAAGGGACGGATCAAATAATGGTACAGCAGTTTCATATCATGGTATAATAAATTTTAAAAAAAATGTGAGCACAAAATGAAAATTTGTATAGCGCGAAGCGGTCCAGAATATTTACATTCCTCTTGTTCTATCGCCTGACAAGTTTTTAGCAGTCACATGAGAGTTGATCGCACACGAGAAAAAAAGAGAATAAAGTGCTGCGGGCCAACAAAATATAACCACTTGTGCACTTGATCACATGCATTTTCAGGCACCATTAACTCCGTTCTCAAAAGCGTTATCTAAGGACTGTGCTGTTCGAAACATTATTATCACATTTTGAACGGTTAAATAATCTTTTATCGAAAGCTTAAACAAACGCAATGTGCAACAAGTTCTGATAGCTCTTGGAAGTTTGTTCCAAAGCTTTGAGCAGTGTAGTAAGAAGAAACGCTCCCTAATTCGCGTATTGAACTTTGGAATCATGACCGTTGTCTCCTTATTTCGTAGCTCGTATCTAGTGTTAACGGCCATATGGACACAGTTAGCATAATGGTGCATGTGATGGTGAATTATTCTGTACAGGAAACACAAGTTCATCTTCGTTATCCGTAGCCAAAGTGGGTCAAGTCCAAGTTTTTCACTGCGCTCTCTGTTGGTCATCTTGGAGGAATATCCGCACAGTTTCTTTGTAAAGCGTCGCTGTACCCTCTCAAGAGCATGCTGGTCAGATTTCCGCAGATTCGACTGTAGTAGTGAGCAGTATTCGATGCCAGGTAACACATATGTTTTATAAAGCCAGATACGAGATTCCGTGAGTTGAAATTTATGACAGATATAGCCAATAGTCTTCTCCAGTTTGTCACACCACCTGCTAAAGTAATGATGAACTGTCATGTCAAATGTACTAGCGTTCAGGCTACGGTAATTCAAATCAGTTATAGGTACTGTAACAACCGACTAGCAATTCATGTAGCACACATGAAAAGACGGTCTGGCAATCAAGCAACTTGGCGGGGATTCATCCTCGGGCCAAGTGTAATCTTGCTATCTCAAACACATGGTTGGTGATTTCCGAATCGGGATTTGCTCGTCACTTCAACCTCCATAGGACAGCCACAGTACGCCTGCGCATATGTTGTGCACATGTGCGCATGTGTTGTATTTGGCAGGACGATGGATTACGGAAACTAGGTCCTCTTTTAATGCATATATTGGCTACTTGAAGTTTATAAGTAGCTAGATTATTATACCTTTAGTGATTTCAGCTCAGACATTCGTTCACGAACGGACTCAGCAGGTCGGAGGGCGAACAATATCGGGGCCCTCGTGAACCAAACCTGGCAGGCCTGGAGATATCCTGCAATAGTCAAGGCCATGTAATTGGTATATGCAGATCACATACACGCATTGCGCGAGCGGCGTATATTTGTTGCTTCGGCACAATCTGAGCGCAAGTACGTTCCATGATTAGGCAGGCATAATGCATTACTTGCGTGACCTTAATCCGTATGTGTTAAGCTGGTTGCTTTTTGCAACTGTATCTCCTGCTGAATTTGCCATCTCTCCATCTGTTCAACGGCTAGCCGTATGCTTCACCTCTTGGTGAATGCTATCTAATGTGGCAATCTATTATGGCGTTTTCCTTCCTACACGCAGCTCGTACTGTTTGGCCGTAGAAGACTGTCAGTTCTTGTTTGTTGTGGACAGCACAGTTCAGCTTACCGCTACAGACACTTTAGAACACTTGGTTCGCATGAACCGTTCTATGATTGCTCCGATGTTGAGCCGAAGAGAGAAGTTGTGGTCAAATTTCTGGGGTGCGCTCTCTCAAAATGGTTACTACGAACGTTCCAATGATTACATCGATATAGTGGAAGGAAAACAAAGGTGAGTCACACGTTTTGCGCATTTGCCTTCTGGAGCTAGTCGTTTTGATTTAATGGTTATCTTGTATTCGCTTGCTATGTCCAGTGAAATGCACATTTTATCAAAGAAAAATGGCAGATGTTCACTCGGAATTTAACCGACAAGACGGGGCAGCGCTTCGATTTCTTGGATGATGCTGTTGGTAATAGTAGGATGGAAATTTTCGTTTAATCTTCTAGATCAAATAACATCGAAAGCGACTTTCTGTGAAGGTCCTCTCACTTTAATCTGATCATGGTTGTTGTTCCACCGGTCCTCAAGTACGACAGTGGTTCTTCCAACAAGCAATAAGAGACGTGGGCTGACGTGTAATAAAACCTACCAAACTGAACCCCACAAGGTGCAGTGTGCTTGTCTTTAGGTTTGCCGGTTATTGGTGCATAGCAGAAAGACATCAACTCAAAGGTTGTAGGCCACCTGCTACTCACTTATTATGCGCTACTTGCAGACACGACTACGCTTGTTTGTGGTTGGCAGTACTCAGAAGCAACTGAGAATCAGCACACCGTTAGGTAAGTCCAAAACTGACCATTAGTCCAGTAATGATAAGCAAAAGCACTACAATTCATCCCGGGTTGAGTGCTGATCGTGCTGATAAAGAGCCAAACTCTAGGCTATGGCTAATTGTGGACCGATTCCAAACAGCTCTGTGGTATGTCAGGTAACTGATGTACTCCTGTAGCTAGTAGTCGATTTGCTCTTCCGACACTGTCTGATCATATTTCTCTCTATGGTATAATGACGACTCAGCGGCAAGCTGAACAAGGGTTGTTCCAACCAAAAAGGTGGGCTTAGAATATCTAGCAAAGATAACAGTTTCCCGCATTGATAGGAGCCAATCTACCGACATGCTACCACCTTTCTGGACATGATCTTGCCACCACGACAGATCAGGACAACTTCATTAGGTGAACTATGCACCAGTGCATTTAAGTTTTATTTCGATGTATAACGATCTTCCTGTTAAACACTTGCTTCCAATCGAATCGACCTAATGACTTGCTACACTAAGCGAAGGATAAAACTGAACAGGGCGTGAGGTGAATCAAATGAAGTGGAAAATGTAGGTTGCTCATTGATGCATATCGTGCTATTCAAGTTGCGTTGGAGGCAACTCAATTTGGACGCCGATTGTAGTCGATTCATCGTAAAGGTCAAGTGAAATTAGTCTTATCTAGCTGATTTAGTTTACTTTGTTCAAGCGGAGCTGCTCAAAAGCATTGGCCACGACTCCATTTGGTGACAGTTTTGTTGTAAACCTCAGTAAATAAATTTAACCACATCATGGCCCTTCATTTTGTTCTTGATATCGAGATTATCTTTAACGACGCAGGCATCACATTGACCTGTAAGATCGGGTAATGGGCCAGCTAACGATGTGCTCTTGCACGCGACCAGATGCACCTTTCTTGCAAAGTCAGGCGACAAATTGCCGGCAGCAAGCTCAGAAAGCTTTGTGACACAACGCTTTTATAATGGCTTGCTTCTTTTGGTATACTTTACAATCGTTAGTGTAAAAACCATTGCTCTTGGGCGATGTTCTTTTATGTATGAGGCAGTGGATGAAACGAAAATGGCGTTTACTTTTCGACTCCCGGTTGACCATTTGAATCACCAGTAAACGTTAGATATGTCAAATTTCGCAAATGCATACAGTTCGGCCAATTTGTTCAATTAGGATTCGCGCACCGTAGATACAACTGATCTAGCTCAAGTATGAGAAATGATTGCACACAGCATAGGGAAGTATGTACAAGGAGAGGGATGGTCAGCGTATGGAAATTAGACAAGAGACGAGACTTCGTTGACATGTGGCTTCACCGCATCCATCACTGCTTCCGATCACTGATGTAGCCTACTTCGGGAACACAATCCGGACTAGTTTTTGATCAGTTCCTTTACAAAGATCAGCGATATGTTGGTTCAAGTGTCTACCTTGCAGTCTCGGCAGCTCGGATTCGAGCCCTGTCTCTAGCCTAGCCTGTAACGCTCACAACTGCTTGCGGCTGTATTGTGGTGAAGCCTCAATGCGGACTACTTGTTTACCACTGCTATCTTTTTGCAGTTTCTTCACTCTCTTTACAGGGGTTTCCGTGGTTAATAATGCAGTCTCACTCAACCAGCTGTGCAGTCCAACGACTGTTTGTGTCGAAGTAAAGTGGAATTGCATAGGCTGCTATGGTGGTAGATCATACATCAATTCATTTTATTCTCCCATATATTTTGGGTATTCCCATAATTTCTTTCGCATTTTGACCCTTTTGTTAGTCCACTTAATCAACAATATAATCCCCATCATGATCGATGATGTGTAACCATTTACTTGACAAACATTGGATGCCTTCCTCCCAGCAAGAATGGGGCTGGCGGTCAAAGAAGTTGGTGAAGTCACTTTTTAGCTGGTTGTAGTCTTTAAATTTGTTTTCTTGCAGATGCTGCTTGAGTGCGCGGAGGAGATGATAATCCGATGGAGCAATATCAGGGCCATACGGTGAATGTGGTACCGTGCTCCAGCCTAGTTTCTCCAAAATGTGGCGAATCGACTTTGTAAGGTAAGGTCGTGTTATCCTGGAGAATTGCGATACTGTCGTTTCGGACGTTCCTCTCGCATTGCTGCGTCCGTCCTCTGGAGTTAGTCTCCGTAGACGTCGGCACTGATTGTTTTCTTGTTGTCGAGCAGTTCCCAAAACAGCATGCCCTTCCAATCACAGAAAACCGAAAGCATAATCTTCCCAGCATGGAAGTCGGACTTTGATTGAGCTGGCGGGTCTTTGCCGCAAGGCAGCCAGTAGGCGTAGCGCGTGTGATTCTCCTAGTAGACCCAAGGCTCATACCCAGTGAGGATCGATTTGAGGAACTCCTGCCTGTGCGGTCGCAGCAGAAGACTCGCAGATGGTCACGCGTGCAGCGCGGTCGTGGTCGGTCAATGCATGAGGTGTCTATCGAGACATCACTTTGCGGTAGCCCATTTCATTTGGATGGCCGTATCCAAGTGTCTGCACGAAATCCGGATGCAATTCCAGTGTGTGGCACAATATTCTTATCCCGAGTAGCTTAGTCACGCTTAGACATCGCAGCCATTTTACTGAGAATAGTAACTATGGTAAGGAAAAATCCCTTCTCATTTCCCTACTCACATTCATAGAGTCCCTTCTCAATGTGCATTGCACAACTCCACACAATACATCAAGCCTTCACGCATACACCCCTTGTAATACCAGCTTATTTCTGGGATATCATAGTCACATTGTACCTTGTGACACTCGTTAGAAAATAGTTGTGGTTCTGTGCCACAATATTTACTGATTCAGTTCCCTGAGATCCATCTTCGCGTCACGCTTTGATGTCTCCTTCTCATAGTTTCATAGATATATGCGTGTGATTTGGTCTTTTCATAGGGGCATATGGCATGTGCCTTTCATACGAGATGTCTACCTTGTGTCGCGTTGGGCGATGCGACTGCTGGCTGAAACTAAACTGGAAGGTAGCACCGAAATGGACATGGAGATTGCACAGAGAGCTAGAGAGAAGGTAAGTCGTTCTGACCACAGAGTCATCTAATGAGACTAGCACTACCTCATCAACGCTATATGATACGTCATCTTATGATTTCCTTTCGTATGGTCACCATGTACTTGGATCGTTTACTGAATAGTTCAACACAAAAGCTTGCTGTGTACCCATGGTAATCAGTTGTCTGATTCCAGTTGCTGAGACTTCCACTTATATCATGGGACGATTAAAGTGCTCTTCTTCAATGTAAACCAATAAGACGAAGGTAACTATATGTGTTTATGTGTAGGAAAATGTGCTAGACGCCCGTGTATTAAGCTATAGATATAAGGCATACAGTTATTGCGCCTCGTCATGTGATCCATAAGGTACACATTAGGGAATAACGTAACTCACATTGAATTTAAAATATACTTAGATGCTGCCTATTTCTCTTCTCGCAGAACATCTTTATGACAGTGGACAATCAGAAGCCATTTGGTTACCTGATTTTCGCGGATAAATACACCACGAATCACGTGAACAACGATTTATGGCAGATATTCGACAATCACTTGGTAAGTGACGTTCCACAAGTGCATTATTCTATGCCATTGTGGCGGATTTTTACGCTTAAGAATGAAATCTAGTATGCTATTGGTCTCGTTGCTTGGGTGCGCCATTGGTAACAATACTGCGTGGCGTGCTCTTTATCAACTTGATTTGAGATATCGATATGGAATAAGATGTAGACATAGTATAGTTCAGCATTTTACCTCATAGTGGGACAATGGGATAGGTTATCAAACGACTCAAAATTACAACTGCCATAGTGGAGGGGATTCGGCCCCACTAGTTATGTTTCGGTTAGCATATTCAAACTAACCAATTCCATTTCTACTCTTCTATCGTCTACAAATACTAGATTCAGCGCACCTCAGTGGCTGTCACTTAAGAAAAGTGACTCAATGATCCTGTTTCCATGTATAATATCTGCGACTTTACGGATTCTATTCGGTTTAGGTTAATATGCGCTGTGCGACACTGTTGCTTGGCTGTAATGATACCTGCAATATGAGAACCTAGGAAGTAGTTAGCGAAAATTGCGTTATCCAACCAATGTGTCATTTCCATTGTACTAACTTTTGTTATACGTCTACTCTTATTCAGTCATTTAACTTGTGGCCTACGGGTTGAGAGAACCAACATAACAGTTATGTAGGGGATCCTAACCTCAAGGGTACACAGCGCATTTTCATCACTGCACATGGCCATTAGTTTTCTGGCGAATATTTCAGGATACTAATAATTTTCCCATCGGTTTTTATTCACTGTGGTAATGTTAACAAACATTTATGATCGAACCTGACAAATTAGTTCGCATCGTAATAGGTTTCCAGAGGTACGCGCAGCCCAATGAACAATGATTTTTCACGGGATAAAAACAAGTGCTTGACACATCCCGTAGAATGGTTGGAGTGAATAAGATAAAATCAAAATATATCTGGGTCATCTACCGAACATCCGCCGAGATGTATACATTGATAAATAACATCAGTGTAAAATTAAAAATCGAGCGTAAACGTCCAGAAATACACTGGGGTGCAGTAGTCGTTGATATAATGCTGATGATCGATGTCATTAATCCGACTACGTTACACTACTGTTTCGTTATGCCAACAACCTCCTGCTCATTCCTGCACCAACCATGATAGAGGTACTCAGTACAGTGTAGACCGCAGTATGCCGTTGTGTTGATTTCTATGCGTGAACTGCAGGGACAAGTAGATTCCCCTTGTCCGAATTATCTCCTTCCTACTCAAATCACTAGGCTTACTAACTAGTACTTCCGCTACTATGACATACCGTGGTCCCTGTGGAAGCATGCACACCTGTCTTAGAGAGCATCCCGTACACGCGGTTGTGCCTTCCGCTGCCTACTGATCCGAAAGCGACAAGCGTATAAAAGTGTTGCACTTTAGTTAAGCATATCTGGTTGACTGGAATTGGTGCGCAGGATTGCAGGGCTACCACATGCAAACCGTTAGACCACTGGCCTTTCATACGTTATTCTCATAAAGCACAACTCAATTTAGTGTCCTACCGACTACTCCATACACACGATTAGCATGACTTAGGTGCACTGTAGAACTCTCGTCAACCTTAATACGTTGGGATGCTGTTGAATACTGCCTCTTGAATACGTCAGGTACTAACAATGTAATACCAACTCTCCTAGACGGATGAACGAACGAGACTCAGAATTATTTCTCGTACAGCACGGTAACTGACAATCTCGAAGTCTGTGGGTTCTCGGAACTTAGTCGCGAAAGATTAATTCACGCGAGTCGAACGGGTTCCTAGACCGAACGCAAAGTTTCTACGCACGATTTCCCAACCCAAGACTGAAGCGAGAACAAGACAGGCCTTTGCCACAGGCGCTTTTACTGGCCAAAGCTAGGGCGATTCTAGCGTTGTACAGCCTCATTTTTATATCACGAAACGGTGATAAATTGGGTTTTTTCCTTGGAAGGGTTTGCGTAAGCAAACCCTGGAAACAAGAAACATGGTTTTATGTAAATGTGCAAAGTCCGTAACTGAGCAGAAATGTTGGAAGTTTGGCGAGAGTTGTCCGGAAAAATGAATGTTGCTTGGATACAACAATGCGTGTTTGGTTGGAAACAAGACTGTTTCTGGGTGCAAAAGCTAAACAAAGTGCATGTTACACGAGTTGGAAGGCTGACTGAAATGTGTGCGTTTTGTCTGGTCTGAGTACATGTGCACTCGAGTGAATCGGGTTTTCAGCCTTCCGTAATTAAGCCTGTAATAATGATAGGGACGTTGGGTCCACATAACAGATGCGCTATTACTCGTGCTGAATAGGGGTCAGAGTTGTGTCCTGCGTGGCAGCGCATATGACGATCAACTGCGTCCTGTTGGCGTACCGAGTCATTGCTGTGCCGTTCATCTTTGACCTCATACAAAGCAGACATAACGCCCGTTTGTGTCGGCGGGCCAGGAAGCAGTGTGTCTCCTCGAGTGCCGAAAACTAGTGCTCGAAAGAAACAAGCGATAATCAGAGCACAGAGCAAGCAGTCTGTCTCCTTTGTCTGATCGACTGCCACCGAGGCCAAAACTACCCGTAAGGTGGTGCTCACTTGGTGGAAGGTGGCGCGCCCGTGCGTCAAATTCCCTGGCAAGAATGACTATATCAGTCCTTTTGGAGGAACGCAGAAGTTCAGGTAGCTGCTGGTAAAAGCTATCCTCGACAGCATCCGGGCTGCAGTCTGTAGGAGCGTAGGCGGAGACGACAAACAAGGCACGCTTAACGTCTCGACGCCTGTTTACATTACATGAACCTCGTAGACTGACTTCGCATAGCCGACTGTTAACCGGGATCCAGTCAAGCAGAGCTGATTCATCCCTGGCACTTAATACAACCCCAACACCAGCTTGGCCAGAGGCAGCAGGTTCTGGTTCTCCGGAAAGCCGCAAGTGGTATTTGGCGTCGGGGTTTACTGGAGAGGCCATTCTGATGGCGACGCTAGAGTCTTGTAATCTGGTCTCTGAAAGGCAACAGATGTCTACCGAGAGCGTATCAAGAGTACGGGTCAGACATGCTTGTTGTCCGATCTGCATCAAAGTTTGAACATTAACCGCTGCGAGGATGAATGGTGAAACAGATAGAAGAAGAGCTGGCGCTTCGGTGGGGTGAGAGACGGTTGCGATCGAAGGACATTGAAAACCGGGAGTGTGACTGTTACTTCCATCAGTTGCGAGACGTTGGTCGTTTATGACGGTGACCGAAGAAGAAATAAGAGTACATGTACGTGAAGGACGGGAGGTGGGGTGATCTGTGAGTGGAGGTTGAGGAGTTGTTAGCATAGATGATAGGCATAGCAAGAGCAGTAGTAAGCAGTGTGGTCCATGATTCTTCATTGGGCGTGATACCATCCGGTTGCCCAGGCCAAAATAGAGTCAGCTGTGTACCGAAAGAAATCCTTATATATACCTAAATATTTGGTGGGCATGCGAAATAAAACCATGACGAAAGCAGATGAGAGAGCTTAGCATTGTTCTGCCGAAATATTAATGCTAACCATCAACTGTAGCTACATAGGATCATTTCCGCTGTACGGCAACATTAAACTATGTGAAGTAGTTCAGCCACCCTATTAACGGGCTGACCATTGGCCTAGTTGGGCTAAGGTAATTACAGTGGGTTGAATTGACTGGGCGGCGCCCAACAGGGTGGATATCGACATTACAATGAATCGCGAAGTAACTAAGATAACGAGTCTCATGCTAATACATGTGGATCGACTACCTCATCGACTGAGAACTCCGTCTCCCATTGAGCATGGATGAAGTCAGTGGAGTGCCAGCATTCGATTAGATACACTTAATGGTTCTGAAGGTTTTATATCATTTTCTAATGATGTTCTCCTTGTACTTTTTTCTTGTCCACATTTGTTGGGCCTTTATTTCACTTTTAATGGGTGTGGACAACCGGGTTTTCCACGCCTCGATTGTGAGTTCATACTTGATTCACCTAAGTCAGGTAGGCAAGCACTCTAGATTGGCGCCTAGATATACTACCGACTGATGTCCGCCACGTTGGGAGGTGATGATATCGCTGACGTTCATACGCATAGTAAACAGAACGTTGACCAGTGTTGAATAAAGCCCGACTGGGGTCGTTTCCTTTAAGTACAAATTTCCCCATTTGTAATACACCGGAGTACTGGTTGCCGGGATTGACTTCCGTGCCGTTGATTTGCTCGCCTACCGGGGCAATTAGATTGTAGATTTTCCACCACTTAGAGAGGCGACATAGTTAGTATTGGCAACTAGCGAACTTCAAAATTCCGTCTTCAGATTTGCCGGAGTCGGCGTTTGCTAACAAAGCGTTTACTGTTGTTCCCTGATACTACGTCGACTGGTGGTGAAATACCTGCATCTAAATTATCCAGATCGGTAAACAGTCTAACAACTCAGTGTTCCTCCTATCGCTGAGGCATCAAGCAGATTGGTATACTTGAGTCTGCAAACTACCAACTGTCATACCCAACTGCTTAGCAGTCCACCTTGTCGAAATGTAATCCAGTATTCCGCGCATCGAGTATATGTTATGACCGAGATAGATAAATATCCAGCGACTACTGTGGGTCACTGTGGTAGTTAGCCGTATCAAGCATGAAACGCAATGCCGCAATGGAGGTCGGAATAACAGTTGCGTATTTTAATATGTTACACATCTTAAACTGGCTGAAAAATTAACATGTGATAATTTAAAGATCAACCAGGTTGAAATTGGCAATAAGGAATAAATAACGATCTTTGCGAAACGTTTATCTTTACAGGATTGGGAGGAACAGTATGTACATCCGGAGTATTCCCGCTTGCTTGATCCAAACGTGGGGATGGAAGATATACTGCAACCTTGTCCCGATGTGTTCTGGTTCCCGCTAGTGAGCGAAAAATTCAGCGCCCAGCTAATAAACGAAAGCGAATCCGCTAACATGTGGTCGGATGGATCGAATCAAGATCCGCGTCTGGAAGGTGGGTACGAAAATGTTCCCACGCGGGATATTCATATGAGGCAGTTGGAATGGGAAGAGCATTGGCTGCATTTCCTCCAGAAGTATGTGCACCCTATACAAAAAAAGGTTTTTCAAGGTTACGACGATAAGGTGAGTCGGTCTAACCAGCAGTCGTCTTGATGAAAATTCTTCTTCATTCACCGCTGATATTTTCAGACAACTGATCATGCTCACATCTCTCTCAGTTCAACAATTATTTCACTCTATTCACCCTGTTACTGGAAGATAATTGCATTTACGACCTGACATTCCCTTTGTGTTTGTCCCTGCATGCTGCATGCTTCAGACACACCGATGATTCACCTGCCTATATAACTATGGACAATGAGACCCGTTGATCAGGTGAATGGGATAGAAGGAAAATAATGCTCCTTTAACAGAACTTGATGATTGCATAATTGCAAGACGGGTTATGAGAAAGTATAGGAGGAAACGCCCAAAACACCCTAAAGTGTTTCCCTGGAGCGCGGTGGAAAATAATACTAGATAATACACCACTCTATATACCTTTTTGAGAGCACCATAACCTTCTGCAACCATCTCATTTCTTGGACTCAGTGCATGCAGATGGATCGCTGCACTGCTCTAGGGATTTGAACGAGTCATCCTATCAGACAACTCTTTGTACGATTCCACTCATCAAGCCATAATACCTAGCATTTTGTAACGAAGAATTCAAGATCTCGAAGAACAATTGAAGCACACATAATGTTTATGCGAAAAATACCCGAATAGATTTCACATTAAGACAAAATGAAATGATCGAATCAGTGTCAGTGATTCTCTCACAGGCTCATCAGAGGGACAGGTATGCTAGAGTTTACCGAGGTCTGAATACAAGCATCATAACCATGCCATTATTAAGTGTTTCTGTCCGAGGGATCCGTAAACGGAATCATGCGGCCTCCAAGCTGGAAGGAGCCCAAGGTGAGTAACTGCTTACCTGATTGGAGTATGTGTTTCGCAATACACATACCCATTACCCTTTAACTGTCTTAGTTACCTCCACTTGGTGCTTCAGTAGTCAGGAGGCAGAGATTACTACAAAGCTGTCCTCACAACTGGGACCTACCGATGACAGGTTGCTGATAAAATTCTTGGCTATTGTGTGATTGGTGTGGTATCAGCGGCGACTGCACCTAGACCTATTGCAGTACCTTCCTTGGTCATAGATTGATTCATGTGACGTCTTATAGGCTGGGAGCTGTGAGCAATCCATGAGTTACATAAGCGATCGTTTGAATTGCGCTCAAGCATTCCGCAGAGCGATGGGGTGAACGCTGCGATGTCTGTGGGTCCTTAGGTCGGTAATAGTGGTTGTAAGATCCAAACCGTCTCCAGAAAACGTATCGCTTCATTCGCGAGGGATGCTGCCATCCTGATTGTGAACATCAAACTACGGAACCAGAAGTGATGCTTGTGTTACTTTAGCTTATTGCCCGATCCCCTGACATCGAACCCAACACTGCAGTCATAACCGCGGTGAACCTTGCCAAATGTATGCTAACTGACGTTTCACAGGTATGTCCCATAATGTAACGAGGAATACCAACTACTCTCCACTGTTGTCCACCTGCTCAAGTCTACTCAGTGCACAGGTTACGCGTAATAACTGGACTGAGCCAAACGTGTCATCTAAGCCGAGTTATGCCATAGGGAAACTTTGTGAACGCGATTGTGTTTATCGACCGATTGAGCGGGTGCATATGACTCCTCTGACTCCCGACGTACGATACGGCGATAAGCGGTGATTCATTGCCCAGTAGGCGTATAATCATAAGGTGCACAATGTCGGTGGGCAGGGCAACTCGATGTAATCCGCGTAGGTGACAAGATGTCGGCCGGTGGCCGAAGGAATAACCCAAAGGTCGTCGATTCAAATCTGCGTAGGGGATCGGACGACCTTCGCAGTATCCCTTACCCTCGCGCGACTCTTAGTGTTGGTTGCGTGTCAGCGAAACGTCGGTGATACACACATGAGCATAGATGCCTGCTGATGAAAAAATGTGAGGCCGTGAATTTGCTTACAAATGTGGTGCATCCTTACGTGCACCAGATGGAGGTGAGGTCAGCTCGATGATTGAACAACAGGCAGCCATGTAGATAAGGATCTGACCTAGCCGTAAAGTGGTCACAATATTGATGTTCATTCCACACTTTTCACCAAGCAGTCGTCCTCTCACATATGCATTTTAGCACCGCCAACTGCGTGGTGGCTGGCAATGCCATTAACGGTACAGTGACTGATTCAATTTCAACCTGCGTCGGTAGCGTAAATTGAGCACGAAGACATAATGGAGTAACTATCTACCTATGCATGTCGACTGTACATATTTCCTATTTCATTGAGTTGAGCATCTGAAATGCTTGCTCCATCACATGACAGAGTTGCTGTTCAGTGATGGAGCGTAATTTAGACACCGTAGTGTCGACCCAGTAATCTGCTTCTGGATCGCATAGACCAGGCTCACTCGTTTAGCTTTACGTGACCTACTAAGGCAACAGCAGTTTTGTGGCCGGTAAAGACCGTGGGGTGACATTCGGTCAAATGATTCAATCAACTTGTTGCGATCGACTTCATGACCGGCGTGGAAGGGAAAAGCCATGACTACGCACCATATTCGAGAAATCTGTCGGTTTGTTAGTCGGATGGCGATGCGCCACCTCATCAACTTTGCGCATCGCAGCAAAGCACTTTGACCACGTGTGTATGTTTGCATATATATATATATATATATATATATATATATATATATATATATATATATATATATATATATATATATATATATATATAACCATCAGCTTAGCATTGGCACGAAGCTGATGGTGTACAAATCCATGATACTGTCCGTTCTTCTATACGGCAGTGAAACGTGGACGATGTACCGTCGGGATGTGCGATATCTCGAGCGGTTCCATCAGCAGTGTCTGCGACGAATTTTGCGGATCGGTTGGGGCGACAGAGTTGCAGACACCGAAGTTTTGCGCCGAAGTGGGATGTATGCAGTGGACGGCATACTTTTACTGCGACATCTGAGATGGCTCGGTCATGTGAGCCGTATGGATTCGACGCGGATACCGAAACAACTTTTATACGGTCAGCTGAGTATTGGGAAGCGGCATGTGGGGAAACCAAAGTTACGTTACCAGGACATGATCAAAGTGAGCCTCACACGTTCTAATCTTGATTGCAGATCATGGGAATCGAAGGCGGTTGATCGTGGTGCATGGCGCGATTTAATCACGAAGGCAGTTGCTGAGGTGCGGGCGAAAACCCTCATGCATGCAGAGAAGAAGCGGCAAGTGCGGAAGCGGCAAGCACCGATGAATTGTACTCCATCGACATTGAGCGCATTGTGCTGTAGAACATGCGGTCGCGAGTGCCTTAGTCAGGCAGGCCTAGTGAGCCATGAGAGAGGTCACTCGGGACCACTGCCGAAGCGACGACGGGTCCCGCAGTGAACGTAGGCAGCACCGGCGCAGCGTTTGTAGGCACGCTGAATTCGATTTACTAACCGCGTGCTTGCATGCTAAGTCTCTTTATTTCAGGTGGTGGGTTTTCGGTTCTCTCCTAATGCCTTTCTTTCTCATATAAATGTCTAGTGGGCCATGCGCTGTGCCATTTGGGGCCACTACAGAAGCGACGACGGGTCCTGCAGAGAATTACGACGAGCCGGCGCAGCGTTTGTAGGCACGCTGAATTCGATTTACTAACCGCGTGCTTGCATGCTAAGTCTCTTTATTTCAGGTGGTGGGTTTACAGTTTTTACCTTAATGATTTTCTTTCTCATATAAATATCTCCCTGTACTCTATTCCATTAACTTGCACACATCGCTTCAGCCAATTGTATTCGATTTCCATAACATTTTTGTGTTCGTGGCATTCCGTGAACTATACTTTCCGACCTCGTGCACTTAGCTAGGATTTGTTTGTAAACAACTTATTACCTATGCTATTTAATTAAGGTTTATGTCACCGTTTCCTTATGCATTAATCGAGTTTCTCTCTTTTTCTTTCTCTCTCTCTCAAGTGTTTGGCTGTTGTTTGATATCCCCGATATGGCTGCGCTTGATGTGCATGTTGACAAGGTGCCTACCTGTCTATTACCCACTACCTCGTCCATACTGGCTCCAGGAGACAGTTGGTCGTTGCTGGAGGGGACGGGGTGCACGGTTCTTGTGGCCGTGTTAGGCTCGAAGAGTGGTTCCATGCACTCAGTATGGAGCGGACTACGGTCCAGCCACCGCCTTGTGTGCGCTTGATTCCCCAAATACAGTGCTTGTGTTTGCCTGTGAAGGAGTGTGGGCCGGCTCCGTTGATGAAACGTGCTTCCCATCCGCATGCCTCCCGGTCTTATTCCTTCGGGTTTACACTGGATATGAGGTATGTGGTTGGAGCTGTGGGTGGTGCAGCGCAAGCCATCCATGGTCCCTCTGTAGGCGCAGGCGTCCTGTGGCTCGCCACAGTGACAGGCAAATCCGAAACCGGATGCCGCCAACCATATATATATATATATATATATATATATATATATATATATATATATATATATATATATATATATATATATATATATATATATATATATATATATGCACTCAATCTTGGATACTATTCGATTACTAGCGGTTGTATAGGGCTTGATTAATGATATAATGACATCTCGGAGTAGGCTTGGAATCGACTGGGATTTCATGATTTCAAAAGGTTCGAATGCAAATCGGTGATTGCAGTTTTGTATTGTGGCACCATTTCGTTCTTGACACAAGAGCGACTTCAGGCCATTTTGTACCCAGAATACTTAGTTCAGCTAGCTTGCGCATGTTGACGACTTTGTTTATACACACATCCGGAACGCGATCCGAATACTGCCTCCGACACTCCTGGAACCTACTTCGTAGTAGTAGTAGTAGTAGTAGTAGTAGTAGTAGTAGTAGTAGTAGTAGTAGTAGTAGTAGTAGTAGTAGTAGGTTTATCTAGTTGCACCCCGGTGTTACCGCAGAGGCTTCGAGTGTTTTAGATTGCTGGAGGGCAAGCCCGTCAGCGGGACCACACTTGAGCTGGCTGTACCCCATGTTGTTAATAGCTTTGTGTAGTTTAATTATGTTACCGCCAAGTCATCTGGGACGAGGAACAAAATGGTGCTCTTGACCTCCGATGATGCAAATTCGTGTATATGTTGGCTTGTGTAAATGGGTGGATGGATTGATTATCATAGCCCTTCACGATTGCTATATCTCCAAGTACTTCAGTCGGTTGACGATTCCATACGCGTGGTTGTTTGGCCTGCATATCATTGTTATTTACATTCGTTTGAGACTGCCCAATCAGCCAGTCCAGTGCAGGTGTATTGTATTTCTGGTTGGATGTTCACAGCAGTTCTAGTTTTGGTTCACCACAAGAAATTTGTCGACAACTTCTTCATTCAGGTACATTTTTGAATATCCTTATGTCTTTTAGAGTGAGCGGTCTTCTTAGTTGTACAGGAAATATGGTGTACATTTTTTTCAAGCTTATTCTCGTTTCGAACGCTTCCTGTAGATGAGCTGCTAGTACTAGTGACAACAATTCGTATTGGCATCTAGGCTTTTAACATTCCTGCTGCACCTGGCTATCTGTCGTTCTAGTTTCACCTGTTTGTTCTTGGTAGCTTTTAGTGATTAACACCTTGTTGAATAACAACGATTCCGCTGTATGTGTAATGAACGGGATCCTAGCCTTACTACTACTGTCCATAGCATAAGGGTTATCCCTCGGGTCAGTTTGGTAGTATTTGCATCTAACATTGGTTTCGCGCTGATAATTGCTTCTCTGCACTAGTGAGCACAAGATGACGACTGACATGTTTGGTGGACTTTCTGTTAGTTTGATTTGATGATTGTAAGCTTTGTAAAGCCGTTTTAATTAAGTTCGCTGGTACACTAAGTATCATCAATCTCTTTCAGCCATGGGCACGTATGAACTTTGTGGTTCGGTATAAGCCGGATGAGCAAGCATCGCTGAGGCCGCACCACGACGCGTCATCTTACAGTCTCACCATTGCTCTGAACCAACCCGGAGTCGATTATGAGGCGAGTTGTTTTCCATGTGGAATGTCTAGATCCGTGTTTCATTTAATTACCAAAATCTGTATAAAATTATCCTCTTAATAGTTAAGCAGAAGTAGACAGGCTCCCCACTATTAGAAACTCCAGTGGAAAAGTTGCTTTGCCATAATAAATGGAGCATGGTAATGTTAGGCGAGCTCGCGTGACAGTCGTTTGCAGGTAGTTAGTTTCTTATTCGTGACTGCCCTGACACGTCATTGTGTTGCACACACTCACCACAGTCGTTCAGTTAGAGCGCTCACTATTCATGGCTATGTCCTTCCAAAGGCTGAAGTTGTTGGGAATTTTCAGCGGGCGCTATCGAAGACTGCGCGGTGATCTCATATTAGCCTATCAAATATTGAGTGACCCCAATCACGTATGCAGCCATTTGCTGAAACGTAGCCACAACACGCAGCTCAGGGGTAACTGCCTAAAGTTGAAGGAACAATACAGCCGTCTAGAATGTCGACGGAATTACTTTTCCCTCCGGGTTTGCAAACCTTGGAACGCACTTCCTGACTCAGTTGTATCCTCTCCTACCCTGGATGTTTTCAAAAAACGATTAGATGTCGCTCTTAACTCCCAACATTTTGTTACCTAAATTCCCCTACTGTGGATTACGCCAAGGATGCATTTCTACAGGCTTTATGTATCAAATGGACCTAAGTGAGCGACCATATTTTACTTTTCTCACTCTTTACCTCAATGATCACTGCACCCCAGTGTCTTTCTGCATGTTTCCGCCCGATAATTTATTTTAATTTTACACTGATGTTGCTTATCAAACTATTCATATCGGCAGACGTTCGATAGATGACCCAGACATATTTTGATTTTATCATATTCACCTCAACCATCCTACGGGACGTGTCAAGCACTTGCTTTTATCCCGTGATAAATCATTGTTCATTGTTCATTGATCTTGGTGCATCCCGGTTGCACAGCTTTGTCAATTTTTCAGCGCGGTGTGTTCTTGCTTTCCGGTTGGAATGAATTCCGAGCAGTCAGGCGTTATAATAGACTGGCGACGGAGATGGGATGTTGATGCGTTTCTAATGCGTTATTTAATCCGGTAGAAAAACCAGTACAAATACGCAAACTGCCATTAGCCTTTCTGATGAGTACAACAGGAGTGGACCACGCTGAGTAGGTCACAGAACTGATGACGCCCATGGACTCCAGTAGACTAATTTCGGTATCCACTGCCTCAGTAGGAGAGTATGGTACTAGTCTTTTGGGACAAAATACTGGACGTACACCACCGGTACACGGACATAACTGGTAAACTCTTCGTGAATTTGTGTTTACCCTCATACCCTTGGAACAAACTCCCACGCATGACCAAGAAGAACAATGTTGCAAGCAGTGCTTGGGCTTTGTGACTTGATGGTCCACCGATTAGACATAACAAACATATCTCTACAGAATTTTATCTTTATGTAAGTTAGCAACACCTATTAACAGCTTTACTAACTCCGCGCGATAGAGACTGGATCACAGCGCCATTGAGCATACTCTAAAACGGACTCCCCGATTCATTAACGTTCATGACATGACCTGTGATGGCACACAGTAACTGTACCCATAAGGAAGCTTTTAAGACAAAAGCGACACGTTGCGCACCATAACAAATACATTAACCGGTCGTTTGCCAAATTTTTTGAAACGATGACTTCTCGATCGGTTCCAATTATTTTCCAACGAAAATCTACGGACTGTTTTGTCTGGTTTAAAGTAGCCAACCAATTTTCTCTTATCGTAGGGCGGTGGTACTCGGTTTGTGCGATACAACTGCTCGGTGGTGAACACCAAAATCGGGTGGACTACCATCTTCCCTGGAAGGGTCACCCACCTGCACGAGGGTCTCACAACCACTGCTGGGACCCGGTACATCTTCGTTACCTTCGTGAATCCGTGAAGCCCAGATGCATCTATGCTGGGACCGATCATTTTCCCGTTTCCTCTTGTAACCACTTTTGCATGAACCTGACTTTATTCAAAATTATTGTACTCATACTATTTCCAATAGCGACCAATAAATATGGTAATTGAGTTGCTTAAAATTGGTAAAGACACACTAATGCTTATATTAAAATAAACCATAGGCGTACAGAATGATTGTTTGTCTTCTTCTTTAGTCGGCTGGTGATAGGATTGGGTGCGTTTTCAAGCAGTTCTTGGTTTGTACGAAATAAATGGCAGCATCAACTTCTGGACTGGTTTACACTAGCGGCCATGAGCACCTACAGAACGTCAGTGTTACCAAAAGGACTGCAGTTGCAAAGCTTACAAGCTTAAGAAGGATTTAGGCTATGATTTTATAGAAGCCAGGTCACATTTGTAAACACGTATCATCATCATCAACAGCAGTACCTCATCCATTTGAACTGGTGCTTCGCTGTCATACAACCATAAGAACATACGGAACGAAGGATAATAAAAAGGAGAGACCGGAGACTTACCGGAAAACCTTAATGCTCTCTGCAAACCTTCAGGGTTAAGGCGCCTACGCCTTGTCAACAATATGCCATCACAAACAGCTGGCCATCGTGCAAACATAAGGCGGCATCAGCTAGACAGTCTCTTTGCAGCTTTCACTGCCCTGCGTCAAAATTAGCCATTCGCCCACAGATAATTCAGCATCAAATACACTTTAAACAGGTAATCCGACTAGGAGACGACAGCAGACGTGCCACTGGTGTCGAGCGCTAGCCATGTCATGTAACGTCCCGAGCCAAGCACTAGGCGAATAAGGTGGACTATAATCTGAAAGGCGAGACGGACCGACGGCATCAAGTTTGATCGTTAGTGAGTTCATTTCCCACTGGCAAGTCAACTTCTGTTCACCACGAGCCTTGCGCCACCCTAAATCTGGCAGACAAAACAAGGCCCTAACAGTATGCGGTGACCGGACATACGTAGTACGTGCCCAAGCCAACGCAACTTATTCAATACTATTGGTTGTTCTAAGTCACTAGCTTGGGCATCATCGCTTAGCACTCGCCTACGCACATCATCGTTGCGGACACGCTGGTGCCATCTGACACGTATAATACTTTGCAGACAGCGATAACCAAAGACTTGAAGTTGGTTCAGATCGACGGACGGAATGGGCCATCTCATTTCATAGAGTAGGACGGCCCTCACTTTGGCCTTGTAAACAAAGCCTTCCAAACAGAGGGAAACCCATTGCTGTTGCCAAAGATGTCGCAAATTTAAAAAAGCAGTTATGCCTTTTGCAATGGTTGAATTGACTTCAGTTGTCAAACGCCCATCGTTGCTGTTACAGCCGCTAAGATGAGTGAATTGATCAAGTGCCTCGAGTTCTTCGCTATTTAGGGTCAACGTCGCATCCTAGTACTCAAGTATTCCATGGCAACGAGCCTGGACCTTAACGTGATGCGACGGCTTGCGTACCACTTTGACCCATTGAGCTATACTGCGTGGTGTCCCCAGACCCCTTGAGAGCTACTCCTACTAGGTTGATCGATGGTTACAGGTCAGATAAGAGCAGTCTCCTGGTCCGCCAGTCTGGGTGTTTGTAATAGGATGGCGTCTGTTAAACACGTTAAGCATGCACGCGCATATTAACGAACCAAAGCGTGTACTTTAGCGCCGGGGCCAAGATAGTAGCCATTGAGCGTTGATGCTACGTACACAAATGGACCTATTTGTAATATCTATACATTTGCCTCACGCAGTATCGGTGCCTGTCGGTCACTGCTTGATGTAAACTTTAGAGAAACATGTCCATCGCAATGAAGCTAAACCTTACCGTGGTGCGTTGGTTTGCGTGCCCCAGCGATCTATTGAGCTATGTTGCGTGGTGCTTTTTGGTAACTTCAGAGCCACTCATACCAGATTGGTCAATGGTTGTAAGCCAAACTCAGCCTCCTGGTCCTTCAGGTTGGGTGTTAGAATGAGGGTTGCTACTCATTCCTCAAAACGGGCTCCTTGTAGCCCAGCGCCAAACCCGCTGTCTTGCGGTCAATTTTCTGAACCAGTCTTTGGTTGAGAACCCTAATCGTTCTCCTGTCTAGGCCTGGGCAACCTGACAGTATCCAGCCAACATAACACTATGATACCATTATCAAACCATTTCCTGATGTTTTGGCCGTCGCAGCTGATAATAGACTTGCCCTATCTGCTGCATCGGCAGGGGGTAGGGGTTTACATGCAACTGATCAAGCCTTTCCGTGTTCTTATTCTCTCCCTTACGCTTTTTCACCCTTATCATCCCAATCCAACTTCACTTTAGACCAGTATTAAACCCCCAATTCTTGGCCCTCTCCAACCTTGCTTTGCTAGGCGTTTAGTTTCTAGTTTCAACACACATGCAAACGTGGAGCGTCCCTCCTGTCCTGTCGAAAAGCCAATATCCAGGAAAGCGGTTACGCCCAGTTGATCGGCTTCCATTTGGAGCCCATTTTACGTGCCTGGGTCACCCAGCCGCGTCAAGAGAAGTAAAACACCCCGGCTCAGCAGACAAGCACTCAATTCTGAGGCAAAAAGCCACTAACTGGGTGTTGAAAACACTCACTCGTCCATGCGACCGATCCCACTGAGGCAGGCGATTGCCCTCCCCCCTCTTTCAGCCACCATCACACATGCAAGCAGTCAAACCCAGTTCATCGGCTTCCAATTGAAGCCCCCGATCCTCCTTCCGATTGGCATGCCTTGATGTACGCAAACTGCTAGGGATCGGTCAACAGGCAGCACTTACCCGAAAATTAGAGACCCTCTCGATCAATATTTGCTGCATATCGGACCAACCTGCAAGACTCGAGCCCTGTGCTCAATTTGCTGTCCCCTTTTGCGTGATACTAGCAGTGCTTTCTCATTGCGCCAATCCGGTGATAACGCAGCTTCGAGCCCCGGCCAAGCCGGTGTTGGTAATGTCCTGAGTCCCCAGGCTGAAGCTGCTCTGGTTGATTGGATTTCAATCAGTAGCCGAATATATGCGGTCAGCATGCTGGCTCGTTAAAAGCTTAAAAATCGTGTGCGACTATTATGTGTCTATTCGTCATGGCTGCCTAAGCGTCCACAAACGCTAGATATGATACGGTAAAAGACGATGTCCATCGCCAAATGTACGAGCTCCTTCGCCACAGAAGAAGCACGGACACTATAGTGTTGGCTAGAGACCTGTTATAGCTGCCTCCTGGTTACGCCACGCTCTGATGATCTGGTATCAATTCTCCTAGTCGGCCAAACGAATGTGGCTTGGAACTACTTCACGCAAAACAGAGTAACCAACAAAATTTGAAGTTGTACGACCCGTGAGACTTAGGCGCAACATAGTTACTACGCGCGAGGTGAACCGGCTCTTAGACCGAGGGCAATTTCACACGCAGCTATCCAAACCCGAGAGAACAAGACAAAAACACAGACCTTTCGCGTAGGCACTTTTACCGGCCAGGCTCAAGGCGATTACAGCGCAGTCCAGCGTTTCTTTTATACTTCGATGGTGTCAATGGTTTGCATAAGCAAACCCTGGAAGCAACTGAATTGCCACTATGCAAATATGCCAACGGAACATGTTGAAAAGTGGATGTTCGTAGGTGCGTAGACTGGACCGGAAAACTGAATGTTGCTTGGGTAAAAAGGCTGAATGTTTTATTGTTGCGGAGGTTTACTGGAAACAGGAATGTTTTCTGAGATACAAGGGCCGCAGGAAACGTGAATGTCTCACGAGTTGGAAGGCTGCTCGAAACATGTGCATTTGTCTGAATCGTGTCTCATTGCCTTCTGTGGTTTAAGCTTGTGATCACTGTGGGGACGTTGGGTCGCCGTAAATTTCCCCCTTCAAGTTTGAACATACCGTCTTAGTTGCGGGTCGATCTGCAGTCCTTCGGTCCTTCGACGGGTGCGCTCCAACCTTCGGTGAGGACCGGTTGGGTTTGTCCCCAGTTGTACGGTTTCCATTGGCCCCGGCTGTTGCACAGCGATTCCGAAAGTATTTAATAGTACGTGCAGCGGTATTTGTGTAACCGACTTGGATTGTTCATGGAGGTTTCCGCGTCGCGGTCAAAGTTGGTTTTGATGGGGAACCCATTTGTCGTCTCCTACAGCAACATTATGTAGCATACTACCACAATGGGCCGTCACTGTTGCTTTGGTCCAGCGTGGATGACCTACTGGATAGTCGCGAACGTATATCGAGGCTCCAGCGAAGAATTCATTGTGTTCGGGGCATATAGTAGATTGACTTGGTGGCTTTTCCGTCGGGATGAGCGCTTCCTTAATGGTGCGTAGCTTGCGACCCATCAATGCTTCAGCCGGAGACTGGCATCCTTGAGCGGCTGGATTTGGTGTGGACCGGTAAGAGAGCAGGAACGCTTGAAGACATTTATCCACGGTCCCCTCCCCACGAGATTTCAAGAGTGTCCTTTTGAAGGTGTCAACAAACCTCTCCGCTTGACCATTGGACTAGGAATGGTAGGGCGGTGGGTGTAGGTGTTGGATGCCATGCCGGCGACTAAAGTCTTCGAACATGGAAGACGTAGACTAGATGCATTGTTGGACACTAAGACCTCAGGGAGTCCATGCTGACTAAAGATTGGTTGTAGGCAACCCAACGAGGCGGATGCGCTTGGTGGGTTGACGGCGACCACATCAGACCATTTGGAACAGGCGTCGACCACGACCAGGTAGGAAATGCCATCGATCGGACCAGCATAGTCGATGTGCACTCGAGACCACGGTCTTTCTGGCGGTTGCCAAGGAATTGGTGGTTGGTGTGGTGGCATCTTGGATGCTTGTTGACATCTTGAGCAGCGACGAGCCAGATCTTGTATGTCGTTCTCAATGCCACGCCAGTACATATAACTGCGGGCGATTGCCTTCATTCTGTTCATACTGAGGCGAGCATAATGGAGCTGGCGCAGTACAGCTTTCCGGAGGCATGAAGGAACGACAACTCGGTCTGCAGTCATGAGACAGCAATCGACTACGGAAAATGAGTCGCGGCGTTGATGCAGTTGTATCAGTTCAGTAGAAAAGGCAGTATTTGACCAACGCGTCTGAACGTAAGTGACGGCTTTCTGTAGGACAGGGTCTTGGGCAGTTGCGCGACGTAATTCGGCGGCCGTAATGGGGAGAGTTCGAATAGCG